CAAGGTTTTGGTGCTGCTCGTTTCGCATACTGGTATGTTGACCTGAAAACCAGTTTACGTCAAAATTTACCAAGACTAACTTTTGGCCATACTCAGGTTAGACACATATATAAGACAACCTCACAAGCTTTTACCCCTCGTGCTCTCCTCCACTATTCGCAGTTCTACCTCATCTTCAGTCCGGTATGTCGACATCTGAGACCAACTCGCAACAGGCCCCTAATCTGGATGTCTCACTGTGTGTCCAAACTTCCCCGCATGCTAGGGCGAAGCAGAAGATTGCTGCTCTGATGGATGAAATTGAAATCTTGAAGCAGGACAAGGCAATAAAACAAAGGTGCGAGGCACGTACGTGGCTCTCAGACTTACCGTGGTATTAATTCCTTGCTACAGGAAGACGACCTATTATGTTTCACAGGGACGGGCAGTCCATCGCATTGTTGCCCTATACACTCCTATAGAGGATTTGATCACCAAAAACGACAGGCGGTGTGAAGACTGCGAGTCTAGCAGCTCCACTATGGAGTAACTATCTATGTTTATATCATTGTGCTTATTTACAAAATGGAACAGCCAAGACCGTCTTCAATGTGGTTATATCGAACTCGCCAAGGCACTACCATGGCTTCATGATAAGCTAGCATGTCTTGATCACGAGGAGTCGGAGGATATGCTCAAAAAGGTTTTCCCCAACGTGTTTATCACACTTTTTGCTCATTCTCGATATAGCTCAAGCGAGGTGCAGACTCTGCTCGTGGCGACGACACGGGAACCCTTAAAGAGCTCGTTGCTTCATGGGTAAATATCGAGTGCCATCTGACTACGCTCATCAGGACCAACAACAAGCACCATCGAGGTTTTGTGAGTGATGCGTGCGGCAGACTGCTCTGCCCGGCAGAATGGTGTTGGGAGGACCCGGTGTAAGTGATAATCTTCATCGCTCACATGTTGCCGACATTTTGTTCAGCATTAGGACTGGCATTTGTGACCGCACAATTGCTTATATTGTTTCTGAAAATTCTTGGCCATCCTTCATGTATGAAAACTACAAAGCTGATGCCAATAATCTGGAGTGCGGTCTGATGAAGTCAAGGTTGTTGATCATGGTGAATGGCCCCATTATTTCAGCTGATTCATGGCTCAACGTATGACAGGGATTCAAGGCTATCTTTACTTCTCCCTCTTCTGCTAATGAGGTGGATGGTGAAGGTAATGGTACTGATATCATTGAAAATAACTGACGTGCCCAGAAATGATCAGATCAAGCCAAAGTAAAGACATGTGTTGCCTCCATCATAGGTATGAGGAAAGTAACACCTCGCGTGATCGCGTATGCAGCTTGCCAGGTAAGCAGCTTCCTTCTAACTATGAAGTTAACATTAAATTCTGCAGATCTGGTTCGCACTTTCCAGCATCAACTCCTGGCGCACTGTGGATGGAGACTTCAACTATCAGATATTCTGGAACAGCATTATCAATTTCTTTGAAGACGCTCTGGGTCCAGCTGCACGAACCAGGGTGAATAAGCTTCTTGAATGGTGGACCAGGCAAGTCATCAACCATTAGTGACTCGCCCTGATTCCTAACTCCCTGCACAGAAAAGTTTTTGGAAGAAATCATCAGCAGGACTTGACACAGGATGTTATTTCCCAGATGTCTGTGAGCATTCTTGCTACCCAGAGACTGCAGATGGAGGACGCTGTATTTGACTCTGACTAGTTGCTTGGCAGTTTTTGCCTGCCTGTCCCATCCACACTATTATATTACATGCTACTACAATACTTAAAAATGTGTGTATGGAATCAAAATATGACTATTTTCTGAAGTATATATACACTCGAGTCTGAAAATTGTCCAACAACTTTGTCATTGGATGAAGGAGCTAAGCTCAAAGTGCGACAAATGCAATGCTATTGAAGAGTGGTGAAATACATAACACGCTCGCCAAATGGTAAGTAAGGCGTCAAAGTGAAGCATCACTCACCGCTATAAACTCTCGAGCCGAGATCCTACGTCATAAAGTGTCCTACAGAGTGCATCAAACGCAATGCTGTCGATGGGCGACAAAACACATAAGACGCTCGTTGAGTGGTAAGGAAGACATCAAGGTGAAGTGTCACTCACCACTATGAACTCTCAAGCCGAGGTCCCACACCATAATGTGTCCCGCAGAGTGCGACAAATGCAATGCTGTTGAATGGTGACGAAACACATAAGACGCTCATTGAGTGGTAAGGAAGACATCAAGGTGAAGCATCACTCACCGCTATGAACTCTTGAGTCAGGGTACTTGCATTGCAGACGTTCGTTGAATGGTAAGTAAGGCGTCAAAGTGAAGCATCACTCACCGCTATAAACCCTCGAGCTGATATCCTACGTCATAAAGTGTCCCGCAGAGTGCGACAAACGCAATGCTGTTGGAGAGTGACGAAACACATAAGACACTTATTGAGTGGTAAGTAAGGCATCAAGGTGAGGCATCATTCACCGCTACAAACTCTCGAGTCAAGGTACTCCATCACAAAAGTACAGTGTCTGCACGATACTATGACCTCCTTGGGACATGTCACAAAGGCATACAATCATTGAGTAATGGGATACTTATGGAAGGTCACACGACGATTTGAAACGAGGTATAAATTAGTGTTTGCTTGCTTTGAGGTACCCGTGAAGTAGCCAAGCAGCCTACAGGATCTTTAGAAATTTCTAGTTTTGTCGGCCAGGAGAGTTTAAAATGTGAAGATGCCAATCATTGCGTGGATTGTAATTTGGCACTGCCATTACGTATGCTTACACCGCTACACCAAGTATCGAATTGTTTACAAATATTGTCATTACCACGAACTCTTTGAACTTGATCAAAATTGTATGCTTTGGATTTTGCCCGAGGAAATGATCTGATCAAGGATCGTGTTTAATAAAAATTTGATTTGCACAACTGTGCTGTTACTGTTTGTTTGCAACGCAGCAACCGTTGAGTAGTAATATCTAATCTAACACATCTTGGAATATTATTTGCCCTTCATGGAATGCACCGCTCCAAGTGACAGGCAACCATTAATCAGTCAAGATGGGCGATTTCTTCTTTGACAAGTGATATCTACTCCTACACACATGAAGAATAAATTCTGCTTTAACATATATCGGAACATTATCCGTACTGCGTGAAATATATTTGTTTGAGTGACGGTCAACCAATACCCATACAACACGCACGACTGTGCTGTTACAGTCTTGTTGCAATACAAACTCATGCCTTTTACCCTCGATCGAGTTACATGAAAGTCATAGTCATCCTGAACTAGTAAATGTGTATTGCATGAAGACTAAATGATATGTATCCGCATCATTGGGGACGTCGCTAAAATGTCTTTCACATTGGCCCATTGCAACCTCCTTCCTTGATCCTCGCAGCCTCGGTTTGTATCTGATTTCATGAACATGTGCCCGTTCATTTTTTCTTAAATCCATCTAAACGAAAAAGGTCACAAATCAAATAATTCTACTAGGCTGGTGTGCTTGTAAATTCGTCTTTCCTCAACAATGCCAAATATCCCCATGTCAAAGCAGTTAGCAGATATACGAAGATTGTTGTGATGTTCTACAATATATTGCTTTAAATAACTTTCTCATCTGTTCACCAGTTCACTGATGACGACATTGCCATTCATCCCGCTGGCACCCTCGTCGCTTCCGCATCTGCAGACCACCGTATCCGTCTCTGGCGCCTCTCAGATCGATGAACCGTCGCCATCTTCCAGCATTCATTTACTCAGAAATGTATCACATTCTCTGTGGACAGCAAACACATCCTCAGCGGAAATGCTGATAAAAAGATCTCAGAGTGGGCAGTACCAAAGGACGTCAATTCAAAGGCAAGTTTCTATTCCTGACTCATATATCATAATTCGAGCATCCTTCATTCAGATACTGCCTATGACAACGGCCCGCGATGCATGTATAACTGGGGACCTGTCTACTGCTGAAGAGTTACTCACCGAAGAGATTCACACCGACGCCAACAATTATACTTCATATGCACATCGGTTGTTCGTTTTGGCCCGAAAACACAACTGTGACCACGCCCTTGAGGATGCAATCAAGGTGAGTTATACTGACTGATCTTACCCACCTTACGAAAAGGCTAACTTTCATTTGTGACATAGTCTATCAACATTCGGCCCTCATTGACAGGCTACATTTCCAAAGGCATTGCCCTCTGTGGAAAAGGCCATATCCGGGATGCTAGGGCAGCATTCGACGTCGCATCCATGTTCACGAACCGTGATTTGGGCACCAGCCATTTTCTTCTCTTGATCAAGGTTGGTCAAATTTGTCTCACATATTCTTTGATTCATTCCGTATTTCAGGTCATCGCACTCTTCAACGCAGATCAACATGAGGAAGCAACAATACTCGTCAAAGAGCTGGCTGCCGCTTGTCCGGATGCCGATCCTCTCGGGTGTCATGTCGTGGAAGTCAGTATCATGCTGCTACGCTCGGTCATCAAAACTGATCTTTATTACTCGTATATTAGACAAATCTACATGTTCAGCTGGGGATCAGCGCATTGGATAGTGCGCATTATGACGAAGCTGTTGATCACTTCACTACAGCTGTCAACTCTAGGGCTTTCTCATCAAAATCATTCAGAATTATACGAGGACTTGATCGTGGTGCGTCGACACAGTGCATCTGAACTGCCTTTCATAACCGAGTGCTTTATCCAGCTCTTCGGCTGGGATCTTGAGTCCTTGTTGCTAACTACACACCAGAAACGGTGCCAGGCTTTCCTTTCGGCAGGTAAACCTGATGAAGCCCTCGAAGCACACAAATACATGATGGACACCATTGACGAATCTGTAAAGGCTAGCTGCCTTGATTGGTCTAACAGCAAGTCCTCAGTCATATTGCTCGCAGCTATGATACTCACCCGCATGTCACTCAGAGTTCAAGAAGCAATGTAGTGCACTCACTGCGCATGATGACCATATTCTTGGTGTATGTACCTCCTTTCTCAACTCTTTCGCTACTGACCCATATGCAGGCGGAGATCCCGGGGCAAGAGCAAGATGGCTATGATGCAGAACCCAATTTCTTCCACGACATGCATGAAGTGTGTGCAAAACTGCTTGTCCTTCTTTTCTCTTTGACATCATTCATTACAGAATTCTCAAATTTCCCGGCCACGACCTCAACAGTGCCCTAGGCGCCTGAAGAGACTCAGGCTTGCTATGACAAGAACCCCTCGTTCAGCTTGTCCACCTGTACCACCCACCGTTGCACCACTGGTCACCGCCGCTGCCACCTTCAAAATGCAACTACGATACCTATTCACTCAGCCACCACATCAAATGCCACCTGTCGCCAAAGTTTCTTTTGCAGAGGGTAAAGAGGTGTGTCTGGTCGATTTTATCACCATGTCCTGGGTGTCTGATGCGTAATTTACAGTGTAATGCTGCTGCAGATGCTCCTGGCAAAGACCTGGACATCGTAGATTACGAATATGAAGATCTCAATACTACTCAACCGGACCCTAGTACACAACAGCAACAGCAAGCAGTAGCAGTACATATAGACTCTGGCGAACATGGAGGCAGGAAGTCGTTTATCTGCTGCTAGCGTGTTTTGTGGGTGTCCCTCCGATATTTCAATTCTACTATTGCTCCTATTGTAACATGCCATATAGCAGTCTCACATCTAGGACTTCATTCAGCCGCTGTGTCAGGCGATATCAGACTAGTTCAATTTGCTCTCAATCATGGACAACCTGTAAACTCCATTTTAGACAGTGTTCTACCTTTACATGCTGCTTGTGCAGATGGTAATGATCTCATAGTCAATCTTCTCATCGAAAACAGAGCAGATGTCAATGCATCAAGGTAAGTCTTCATAACCCATAATTCTAATTGTATATGAATACTTTCCACAGACTTCCCCGCAGGTCCTCTGACTGCAGTCGTGACCCTGCTGCTCCTATAGTTGGCACTTCTGGTGCAACCCCACTTCACTTCACTGCTGCAAATGATCATACAAGCGTCGTTTGCACCCTTCTTATCCATGGCGCCCATTCTGATCGTCCAGATAAGCACGGCATCACCCTGAGATCATTGCCTGTCAGAATGGCTGGATTGAGTACGCTGATATCCTCGCATGTGCTCACGATGATAAAACACCTGATAGCGACGGTCATTCCTCTAGTTGAGCACGTTGAATCTTCCCAAAGGAAGAAGCTTCATTTCAAACACACCATCGACCGCACTCGCACCGCACTCGAGTCCACAAGCGCCACTCCTGATATTGATCAAGAACCACCATTTGTGTACTCTGACTCCCCTGAATAAGATATCTTTCAACCTCAAAAGCATTGTGCGATCAGCAGTCGTTCTGTCCTCATCAGCACCAATGACGCCTGTTACATGCCCTGGATCCTGGCCCTGTTCTTTTTGATCAGCAGGGCTATGCATATTTGGCTTACTTCATGGAAGCTAACCAAACAAAGGTGTTTGTGATATGGTCAGACAGTGCGCTTGGGGGCAATCTTTAGACGCGTAGTGGCCCGGATATTTGTTCTTTACTTGTGACTTCCACAAGCACGACCTATTCCTGTATGCCTCATTCAACGTAGTACAGCATGTTTGTAACTGAAAATGAAAGCAACACGGCACAGAACCACACACGGAAATTTGGCATCGTCCTACATACGAGAACATAGAATTCTGATCCATCGTTTCATCCTCATGCATCAATTGTCATCTACAGCGATGATAGTACAGCATGTTGAGAACAAATCGAGAATCATTTGCGGCAAGTTAATTTGCGGGGGTCGATCACACAGCACACAGTACCTGGCACACAGTAATTGGGGCATTCAGTCAAAGAAGTGGAATACAATTTACTGGTCCAGTTACAGGGAGTATTATGTCATGGTACATAGTGTTCCCAAACACCCGGGGGTGACATTCGTTCAATAATTGAACGCATAGCTTTGGCTGTGGTGAGAGCTCACCGAGGTTAGGAACATCGACGACCGTGTTGTACTACTAGTGCATGATTCCAATGGGAGTGGATTGGCGAATGAGTTAACTAAAACCAGTTTGGCCGAAAGTTGAGGACTGATATGAGCAATGAGTGGAGGACCGTAAACAAGGCTTTAAACACCTTTAGGAAAGATGTTCACAGAAGTGTTGAATAGAACACGCATGTGAAGGTGGAAACTCCTCTATCGCAGAACTAATCACAGGTTAAGTAAGACCCAAGAAGAGAAAAATTCAGCTACATTTGGTGTACACACAGATTTTGGGAGTCGACATGATCTATATGCCTGCATTCAGATGTTACATGGCGATGTGCTGGAGTGGGTGCTAGACACGAGAAAGAATTACATTTGTATGGCCATCCGGGATAAATAGTATTCGAGCGCCTGCACTATCACAATCGAATGTGGGGGGATATATTCTAGAAGCTATGGAGATGCGCCAGGAAAGTACACTGTCAAGGAAGGCGATTATGACTCGTAAGGAGCATGCTTGCTGGAATGGTGATGGCGAACTACCTCGTATCTTGGGTGTCTATAGGTAGGCGAGCGTGGTGAAGCAGCATAAAAGCGCACAATGCACGCACCTCTGTAACTTAGAAAGACGCCCACAATTCCTCGACCGTGCTCAATACCATCAACCTCTTGTAAGATGTCACAGCTCATTCCAAGCACCACACCCCTTCGAGTTTTGAAGATCATGAGCAGGGCGTAACTGCAGTCGTAGTTTTCCCCGATAGGCAACGAATAGTTACAGCCTCGAATGACAAGACACTTCGTCTTTGGGACTTGGAGACAGGTGTTGGAGAAGATGGAGGGGCATCACAATTGGGTGCAGGCACTGGCGAAATCACGAGATGGTCAAATGATAGCAGGCGGTGATGAAAAAGGAGAGCTCATCACCTGGCACGGTGAAACTGGAGAATCCCTGACCCAACCCATCAATGCCCCACTCCAATGAAATCACCTCGCTGGATTTTTTCCCGGATGGTATGGTGCTGGTCACTGGTTCATGGGACAAAACAGTGAAGTTTTGGTGTACCAAAACATGGCAGACGCAAGGAGAAACCAATCAAGTGTGGTACTGTCGACTGTGTTCGATATTCGCCTTCTGGTGAACTTCTTGCCATGGCAACACTCGACAATATCAAAATTATAATCCAGGCACAAGGGAACGCGTCGCATCTTTCATTGGTCACAACTCGTCACTCGTGTGGATGCCCAATGGCACACACCTTCTTTCAGCAGGCCATGCATACAATTCTACTATACGAGAGTGGGATTCATTGACCTGGCAGCAGGTCGGCCATCCCTACGAAGGCCATACTGGCAGTATCAAAGCCATTGCCATCCATCCTGCTGGTACCTTTGCCGCTTCCGTGTCTGATGACAACCATGTCTGTCTCTGGCGGCTCTCAGATCGATGAACCATCGCCATCTTCCAGCACTCATCCAACCAGACATGTATCACATTCTTTGTGGACGGCAAGCACATCCTCAGCGGAGGTGAAGATCATAAGATCTCAGAGTGATAAATACCCAGCAACGCTAATTTGAAGGCAAGTTTCCATTCTTGACTCCCATAACATAATTCGAGCATCCGTCATGCAGATCTTGGCTATCGCGACAGCCTGCGGTGCATTTGTAACCGGAGACCTGTCTACTGCTGAAGGGTTACTCACACAAGAGATCCACACAGACGCTAACGACTATACTTCATATGCGCATCACTCATTTGTCATGGCCCGAAAACACGCCTGGAACCATGCCCTTGAGGATGCAATCAAGGTGGGTTATGCTAACCTATCCTGGAAGTGGCCTCCTTACGAAATGCCTAGCTTTCATCCGTGACACAGTCCATCAGCATTCGGCCCCCATTGACAGGCTACATTTCCAAAGGCATCGCCCTCTGCGGAAAAGGCCACGTCTGGGAGGCAAGAACAGCATTTGACGTCGCATCCATGTTCAAGAATCAAGATTTGAACACCAACCATTTTCTTCTCTTGATCAAGGTAGATTAAATTCTTCTCGCATGCTCTCTGCTCCATTCCATATTTCAGGCCATCGCACTCTTCAACGCATATCAACACGAGGAAGCAATGCTGCTCATTAAAGAACTTGATGCCGCTTGTCCGAATACCGATCCTTCACCACATCGCGTCGCGGAAGTAAGTATCATACGGCACGCTCGGTTATTAAACCTGATCTTTGGTCATTGCACATTAGGTATATCTATGTGTTCAGCTCGGAACCAAAGCCTTGGGTGATGCGCATTACGATGAAGCCATTGACCAATTCCACTACTGCTGTCAACTCCAGCGCTTTCTCATCGAAATTCATTCATGAAACATATGAGGACTTGAGCGTGGTGTGTCAACATGATACATACATAATGCTTTTCATAATTTAGTGCTTTGTCCAGCTCTTCGGCTGGGATCTCCAGTCTTTATTGCTAACTACACACCAAAAAACGGTGCCAAGCTTTCCTTTCGGCAGGTAAAACATGATGAAGCCCTCGAAGCACACAAATACATGATGGATACAATTGACGAAACTGCGAAGGCCAGCTGCCTTGATTGGTCCAATGGCAAGTCTCCAGTCATGTCACCACATGGCTATCATACTCACCCGTATGTCACTCAGAGTTCAAGGAGCAATGTAGTGCACTCGCTGAGCACGATCACCATATTCTTGGTGTATGCACTCCCTTCCTTAACTCTTTTGCTACTTACCATAACTGTTATGCAGGCGGAAATCCCTGGCAAGAGCAAGATGGCTACGATGCAGACCCAATTTCTCTCGGGGAATGCATGAAGTGCGTGCAACTGTGTATCCTTCATCTTTTCTCTCTCACATCGTCCATTAACAGCATTCTCAAATTTCCCAACCAGACCTCAACAGCGCCTGGGCGTCTCAAAAGAGTCAGGCTCGCTATGACGAGAACCCCTCGCTCAGCTCCTCCACCTGCCCCACCACCACCCCACCACCAGTCGTCGCTGCTACCACCTTACAACCTCACCTACGACACCTATTCACTCAGACATCCCATCATGCAGCGTCACCTGTAGTCGATGTTCCATTCACGAAGGCTAAAGAGGTGTGTTGGCTCGATCTTATCACTGTATCGTTGGTGTCTGATGCGTAGATCCACAGTGTAATGCTGCTGCGGGTGTTTCTGGTAATGACCTGGACATCGTACCTGATGAATATCTCGATTCTACTCAACTGGACCCCGATACAAAACAAAAAACAGCAACCAGAGGCATTCCAGGTAGACGCTGGGGAGCATGGAGGCGCTCGGTCGTGTTGCTGCCGTTAGAGGAGCTGGTGCATGTCCTTGGGTATTTCACTTCTATTGTTAATCTTGTTATGATGTCTCCATTGACCTGAAGCAGTATTTTTAAATCGATAGGTGATGGGTGCATCCTTTAGATTATGTGGAGTGTTCCTCCTCTATAACTAATTATGAACCTCGCATCCTCCATCTGTAAAGCTTGACTTGCGCATAGGTTACTGAGCGTCAGATATTGTACTCATGTACAACCACAGGGCCATTCTGCATTCAAAGATGTCTCGTCGACTGCACAGGGACATGCAGCGGTTCATTTAAGTCCTTCAGCACCATCATTTTACACAGCACTCCACATCTTTATGTATCAGCACTGCCATCCTCGCTCACCAATTTCTGCGTTATCTAGAACATTTTCTGAACGGTTTCTGGCAGTGATGGGGCAGCCAGCTGGTGGGCCCTTGCGGGTGGCACACTAGCAGTTGGGTTAATTTAGTCTCATTCTCACCGGATGGCACTCGCATCATGACCGGTTCGCCCGATAATACTGACCGGCTGTGGGATGCAGTGATGGGACAGTCTTTCGGTCAACCCTTGCGGGGGCATACTGATTGTATCTCTCCACCCTCGTTCTTGCCAGATGGCACTCGCATCGTGACTGGTTCTTCTGACATTGTCATCAAGCTGCGGGATGCAGCGACGGGGCAGACAGTTCTATAGTGAGCCTTGCGGGAACACACTAGTCGGGTTCCGTTGGGTGACGCTCGCGTCGTGGTTGGCCCAGGATCATGGGATAACACTGTTCAGCTGGCGGGATGCAGGTCACAAAAGAAAAACGCACTCACCCACCTCCACGTCCTCCCCCTAACAAGACAGACAAGCCATGTAACTGTCATCTTCCTTAGAACATCAACTTCTGTTGGGGACGAGCGCCATCAAAGAGAGACAAGCATTCGGGTGAGAGCTCTCCTGCGCTGTTACGTTGGTGAGAGATCAAATGGCGAAATGCGCTGAGAAGATCGTGAAGGTGCTGCTAGTTAAGCATCTGCGAAAATAATACAATGATCAGTTAAATAATTGATCTTGTCAATGGCGGTCCTTTCGACCTCGGAGTAGCCACGGGGATCAAGAATCAAGAAGCAACCGTATAAACATGATTGGCAGACTCTTTATACTGATCTACAAGCGAATCGTAAGGTGAAGATTCGCGAGGCCTAAGAGCTAAAAGGTTTTTTGAAAGTTGCTTGTGTAGTTTCCGCACACAGCCTGTAAGGAAGTTGTGATCATCATACAAAACAAACATACGGCCCATCTTATCTAACCAACCGAGTTTGATGGCACGTGATCACTCATAAACAGTTTGAAATACACGCGCGTCTCGTTCTCATCCATGATACTAAGCTTGGTCATGTTTCCACTCAAGAAGAGTCAATACCTGCTTCTCTCCTCTAACTATCTTCCCGTTGTCGAACAGCCCCCTGTTCACGAAACCCGTTCTTCTCAAAAACTCTGATGCTGGGCCAATATTCCCAGCAAAAGTGTGCGCTAACAACATGGCGAACTCCCATTCTAGGGATCCCCCCACGCTGTCATCAAGAGACCGATTGCTGCAGTCATGATTCCCCTTCCGTGGTGGCTCACAGCAATCCAATCTATCGCAAATGAAAATATGAATAAACTCATCAGCATTGAGACAACAACCGTCATAGGCCCATAGAACCAACGTACCTCCAATAGCATACTGAATCGTCGGGTCCCCTGCTTGGCTTGCTTTCGCATTATCTTCCCGCAGTCGCTTCCGTTCTACTTCGTGCCTAGTACCCATCCTCGAATGGACTTCTTCTGAAATTGACATCTCCTATAAGAACATCCGTCCCATCTTCTTTGACTTCCCTAAGATTCCGCACAGGGTTCGCACCCACGAATTGAAGCGGGCCATTAGAAAATCCTCCGCGCTCTTCCCGTAGATAATTCCAAAGTAGCATCTGATTCTTTTCTTTTATAAGCTTGGATACAAGAGGTCCGCGTCTTCCGGTAGATAGGGCGTTTGGGGGGTCCTTCCTATCCATCCGTAAATAGCGGGGTCGTTCATATCTGCATGTGCATAGACTGATCTCCCTGTCGAGGTGGGGTGATAATGATGTTTCTGGTGTGGTGCTGCAAGCCGGAGGAATGGTTCCCCAGTTTTAGGATTGATCTCGAGGGGGATAGAGTTGGGTATGTCATCTTTGGAGTGGGTGCTGAAGATCTATTGAAGTGGCGAAAAGCACTTACAAACTAGTTAGTGAAGGGAGTCACAATGTGTATGTTTGAGTCATGTACTAGAAGGCGGTGTAAGCCTGCAAGGTTGATAATAAACTACCCTAGAATGGTTAGGCGCCCGTACGACTATGCAGACCAATTAGAACGAGTCATTCCTTTAGTAATACTCAGATCAGTGAACTGAGTTGAGGTTTGCACGAGGGAAATATTCTTTCCTCATGAGAAATCGTTTACCTTGGGCGGGTTGTGGTGTCTACAGCAGTCCGTCCTAAATCTGATATGCACTGCGGTAGGGAAGATATGGTGTACGATCATACATCTGATAGATAAAACACAAGGCATTTAGCAGTGAGCTCATGTCGTCTTTTCCCCGCCAGACGTGCAGTAGCCTATGAATAGAACTAAATTTCTTTCACGAAACGCATCAAGTGCGTGCAACAGTGCATCCTTCTTCTTTCTCTCTCACATCGTGCATTCCAGCATTCTCAAACTTCCAGGCCACGACCTCAACAGCGCCATGGGCGTTTGAGAAGATTCAGGCTCGCTATGATAAAATCCCTCGTTCAGTTCACTCACCAGCACCTGTACCAGTACCAGCACCAGTGGAAGGCATCGTGAAAAACATATAGGAGATTCAAGACATGTGGGGTGAGAGATGGAAATAGTAGCCGGAAAACACCGATGTCACAGACGAAAAATCACTTTAACCTGGCCCTAGTCAGGTCCATACAATCGATACCCAAGTCTTCAGCAATGATCATCGCAGCCCGCTCTCCGATGAGAAGTGCCGTCGAATACGTGTTCTGTGTATATTGTTAGACCGCACTCAACAACCTCCTGTTCAGCACCCACCGTGCCAACGTTCAATGGCGAAATGGACATATCTGCGACCTTCAGGTTTGACACGCCGTATACATTTAGCCGAGCATCGACGACTCCTTGATCTGCTCCGTCCGATTCCGGCACAAGTCCCAAGCTACAAATAAAAGATCAGATATAAAATCATGAAAGGTTCAGCTGCACACACTGAGTGCCATCCCGTTTGCACTGATGTTCGATTCAGTATCTTACCGTGACTATGGAGATGGTAAGTCAGGACTTACCGACGTCGCGATGGAATTGATTGATCGCCTCGTCATCTCGGCAGTGTAGATAATGTCAG